CACTGGTGACACAATTGCAGAATGAGAGAGAAGGTGAGAAGATATGGGGGGCTGTTAGTGATTTTACCATTTTCTATGGCAAAAAGTCAATAAACGTTGTCTCTAATTAATCCACATAAGAAATAGAAACAGAAGTACGTTACTTAGTGATATAGACATAACACTTTTTGAAAGTGATAACATGGGAGGAGTGAGTTTTATAATGGAATATTGTCCTCATTATTTATATTAGATCTCATTAGTATGTTAATGTGTAATTTTTATGTGTCATTTTAATTGCACAGAAAATTTTTGGAAAATAAAAGTACATTAGAATTTTAAATGGTAATGATATTAGTCTCTTTTAATATTTTTCAAGATGTATTTATTTATTTTAGAAGGGGGAGGGCAGAGCGAGAGGGAGAGAAAGAGTGTACTTACTCAGTGCAGAGCCCAAAACCCTGAGATCACGACCTGGACTGAAGCCAAGAATCAGATGCTTAACCAACTGTACCACCTAGGCACTCATATAGTCTTTTAGATCTGATGGGATGAACTTTTGATTTTATATATTCAAGAAAGAATTATATTTGCATCTTTGTTTTTCAAAAGTCTCTTCATTAGTAACTATTAAATGTATCATCTTTTGCATATCATAGTCTACAATTAGCAGAAACTTTTCCATTTTATCATTTTTTAAAATTTGTCATCTTATATGTAACTTTCAACACCTAGTTTATTCCATTATCCACCTACCACTAGGTGTCTTTTTTAAAAGGAATTTATCATTTTTATTCTTCAGATCACAGGTAGGTCATATTTTCATTCATTTTGCAAGTCTTGTTAGGTATGAGGGAAACAGACAAAAAGAAGTAGCTCCCGTTTTCCATACGTGTTGTGTTCTAGCAAAGATCATTACCTAATTCCCAAATTTGCTGGTTATGGTGCAATATCTCTTTTCTTAGAATATACTTCTTTTGAGTACCTCCTGCCCCTTGAAACTTTATCCTTTTTTGCTGTGAGTCAAGGTTTTTTTGTTTTTTTTGTTTTTTGGTTCTGTCACATTGGGCTGGCTAATCTCAGTTCCCTTAACTTGATCAATTTCCATGACTCAACTGCTTTTAAAATGTAGGTTCCACTTTTTTTTTTTTAAATCTCTTTATTTGACACGTTATCCCTTAGTGATCTCTTAGTCACTGACTGTGTATATATTTTTTCTTCTAAGTGCCTGACCTACATATAAGCATTAAGATGTGTCATGGGCCTCTTAAACTTAACTTATCAAAACTGAATTTCCTTTCTGTCCCCTACTCTCACTCAAATGTGCTTCCTTATGTCCTAAGATAACATAGTCCTTGGCATATAGAAGGGGTTCTGATATTTTAGTGTAGGGAAGACCTATTAAAACACTACTAGAATTTCTAATTCAGAGTTTCTGATTCTATAGGTCTGGGGTGAAAACTTCAAATGTGCATTTCTAACAAGCTCCCCAGTGAAACTGGTGGTTTATCTGCACTTTAACTGCACCTGGAGAACCATTGGCACACAGCAATCAGTTAATACTTGTTAGATCAATAATTACTCTAAATCGATTGTTTTAAAATATGTAATATGGGCTCAAAAATCAAATTGAACTCAGCATGATTAAATAACAAGAAGTATTCATAGAGCTTTAGTCTGAAAGAACAAAGATCATTTGGTGAAATACTCTTTTACTGCAGGTTAGTAAACTCAAGTCTAAGGGGATTAAATGATTCATATGAGGAAAAATAACTGTATTCCACAAATCCTGACTTTCCGTAAAAATAAAATAACTTTATATGTAACATTTGTATTTAGCTAATCAAGGATTCGTTTTCTAATTCGAGATAGATATTGAGCAGATTGTTTCTCTAGATGAGTAGGCCCTTGCCCATAGGCACAGATTTCGTAAAAATGAATTGAAATACTACTGACTTTTAATGCTGTCTCCCATACCTACTGACATGCTTGCAAAGAACAGAGAAATCTAGAGCTTAGTATCCTGGTTAAAGTTAAAGATTCTCACCAGTCCAAGCAGTGTTTGGGCAAGCAGTTTTTTGTTTTGTTTTGTTTTGTTTTTGTTCTTGTTTTTTGTTTTGAGAAAAATAAACAGAGATTACATGACCCTACTGGTCCTGAAGAAAGTTTAATCCTTTATTTGTCCAGAACTGAAAGGCCTTTCATCAATGCAGTAAGTGTCAAAACTGTGGCAGTCCTGTACTCTTTTATTTTATTTTATTTTATTTATTTATCTGACAGACAGAGATCACAAATAGTCAGAGAGGCAGGCAATCAGAGAGGAGGAAGCAGGCTGTCTGCTCAGCAGGGCTCAATCCCACGATCCTGAGATCATCACCTGAGCCGAAGGCAGAGGCTTTAACCCACTGACCCACCCAGGCGCCCCGCAGTCCTATACTCTTAAGCTGTTTCATTGTTTTCCCAAGTTTGAATATTTAACAGGATTCACCAGACTTTACTCGTATGAGGCAAAGGATAGTGCTTTGGAGAAAGAGAATGCAGACTTGCATCAGAGGCCCAAGAGCCTTTCCCCAACATGAGCACCATGTGGGCTCAATCTTTAGGCAAGTGGAACATCCAGTTGATCCACCAAAGTATGCACAAGGAGTCTTGGTTTTGGGGGGTGTGGGGAGCTCAGCAACAAAGCTTTCAGTGGCTTTTTAAATAGCCAAGCCAGGTGGGCACCTGGGTGTCTCAGTCAGTTAAATGTCTGCCTTTGGCTCAGGTCGTGATCTTGGGGTCCTGGGATTGAGTTCCTGCTCCACAAGGAGCCTGCTTCTCCCTCTGTCTCTGCCTGTCTCTCTCTCTCTCTCTGTCTTTCATGAATAAATAAATAAAATCTTTTTTTTTTAAAGTCAAGCCAGAATAATCAAACCAGATAAACTAGTTGCAAAGCATTAGTGCAAAAGTTAAACTTGGGATTTCCAGTGAACTGTCAGACCCTAAACAATACATCAGATATCCCACTGCCCTCTTTTTGACTAAGAGAAAAAAATCAGATGCATGGATGTCTCTAGAAATAAAGATAGCGCTTTTTCAGTCCGGCTGCAAATCAACGTTATCCTACACAGTAGTCTTATAGAGGTCACTGAAGCTTCTTTCTTATGGACCAGCTGCATGAGGGATCAAGCAGATTGAATCCCAGGTCTCTAGAAGTGGGTTACCAAGATTAAGTAGGCATATAGATTCTGAGCTCTTCAGGAAAAATTAACCAATCCTTCTCAAGTACATGCTAGAAGCCACTTACACACAATGACAGTGAAAGCATCGCTGTCTAAATTTAAAATGCTTAAACCATAATCAAGTTGCTTCCGAGACAGATATATATAGGCTGCAGGCTTTAAATACTTGGGGGACAGTCTGGTGACCAAATAAAGGAAGTCTCATGACAAAGTTGTATTTCCTTTGAGAACACTAATCTCCAAAAGGGAATGTCTTAAAAATATGAATGTTATGTGAAAGGACAAAAAAATAGAACAAATATAATGGACTGCTGTTTCTGACTAGATGTATGCATTATCAAGTACCAATTACAATTACACTAATTATGGACAAGGAGTTGGGAGACCTCTAAGTCATCAGGAAAAGGTGTGAGGGAAATAAATTTCCATGTGTTCTCCAAAACACATGAAATGTGTTTTTTTAAGGGAAAAAATCTTATTCCAGTATGTTTATCCAGTTTTATTAGCTACTTTTTTTACTTGTATTCAATTTTTATCATCTATGCAATGAAACTCATTTGGGGAGCTCTAAATAATTGTTTCTAAGTATGGTCCCATGACTACCTACATTTACAACACCAAGGGAGTGTTTCTCAAAGTTAAATGTGTATAGGTCATCTGAGAATCTTTTTTTAAGATGTAGACTGATTTCATAGGTCTGGAGTAAAGGCTGAAATTCTCTTCTAATAAGTTACCAGCTAATATCCGTGCTCCTTTTTGAATACCAGAGATTTATTTTCAAAGTGTGTATGTGTATTTGTGTGTATAAGTATGTGTGTAAATTCACAAAAGCAGATATATCATGGGAATCAATCTCTGGAGTTAAGCCTGAAAATCTGCATTCCCAAAGTTAACTTCACCCCAAGTTTTATCAACAATTAAGTTTAAGAACTATTTGGTTAGGGGTGCCTGGGTGGCTCAGCGGGTTAAAGCCTCTGCCTTCGGCTCAGGTCATGATCTCAGGGTCCTGGGATCAAGCCCGCATGGGGCTCTCTGCTTGGCAGGGACCCTGCTTCCTCCTCTCTCTCTGCCTGCCTCTGCCTGCTTGTGATCTCTGTCTGTCAAATAAATAAATAAAATCTTTTAAAATTTAAAAAAAAAAAGAACTATTTGGTTAAATGAACTTAAACGTCTAAGTTAACTTTGGCTGTAAAATTTCGTGGATCTGGCCTCTCACCCTGATACTCTTTAAGTCCTAAATTGAAGGGTGACATATTCTCTCACTTTTCAGGCCATCTGTGTTGCTTGAGTATCTATGACTCGGAAACAGCTGCCAAGCTCTCTGTCACTAAATTCAAATTTTAATTAGGTCTGATCTTTTGCTAAAAGGTCTAAGATAAAACTTCTTGTTCTAGCCAATCTTAGAAAATTCTATATTCAGATGAGGGGCCAAACATCAACATGATACTTCTTTTAGAAAGCAGCAGGAATAAAAAAGATTCCAAAAAAGTGAAATCATGTTTTTTTCTTGTCTCCTCACTGGTTTTTCTGGGGTGACACCCTTGAATTCACTCTGAACTCCTTTCATGCCCCTCCACATCTCAGTTCTACACAGGAAATGTTTGTCTACTAAATCCCTCACAGAATATGTGACACACAGTAGATGCATTACATCCTAGTACATTGGTTCCTTCCCCCAAAGGATTTCTTCTTTTGGTTACTGTTATTCAATTATTATTGAATTTAGCACAACAAGGTAACATGATGATTTCTCATACAGCCTAACAATGTTTTCTAATTTCCTTTTTCCTTTTCCTACAGTATAAGCAAGTGGAACAATACATGTCCTTCCATAAGTTGCCAGCTGATATGCGTCAGAAGATACACGACTACTACGAACACAGATACCAAGGCAAAATCTTTGATGAGGAGAACATTCTCAGTGAACTCAACGATCCTCTGAGAGAGGTAAGATGGACAGTCTTCGATCTCCATGGTACATGGTCATGGTTTATTTTCTATTTTCATGGCACATCTTCAAGGCCGTGTTACGACACTACTCAGAAGAAAAGTCAGAACTAAATATTGACACATCTTTTGTGCCTTTATTCTCCCCTATGGTTTCCCGTATAAAGACTTTTAATTGTTGGGGGGAAAAAAGTACTGGAAAATTGTTCTTATGATCATGATTGTCAGAATGGTTTTATTTTCCGTATCTGTGGTTACCAGAGTTCCTTCATCTGTCTTCATTGTCTGTATCTTTCACTCATTCCTCTCATGTCTACTGAACTATTCATCTTCGTTTTGGTTTCTGGTTTCTCATCTCTTCCCATGTTCACTTCACCTGTTTATTAGAATGTAGACCCTGATTACAGACTGACCTGACCTGTTGCAAGAAATTAATTTCTCCTATCTCCTCATTAAAACACTTCAATGTCAGTAATCACCTGTTTGCCTTATAGCTTCTTTCCATCCCTCCCTAGAAGGCTTCTCTCTGCCCATGGGAATGTTCTGGTCACTCCTAGACCAAAAGAATACTGGTGCGATTGTTCATATTTCTCACACTGCTTTTCTTTCCCTTCTTTCTTTTACTACCAACCTTCTCACACGATTAATGCGTTCTTTTTGTTTGTTTGTTTGTTTTTTTAAGATTTTATTTATTTGACAGAGAGAGATCATAAGTAGACAGAGAGGCAGGCAGAGACAGAGAGAGAGAGGGAAGCAGGCTCCCTGTCAAGCAGAGAGCCCGATGTGGGGCTCGATCCCAGGACCCTGAGATCATGACCTGAGCTGAAGGCAGCGGCTTAACCCACTGAGCCCCCCAGGCGCCCCCGATTAATGCGTTCTGTGTCATTATATTGTGTGGTTTGATTGCCACTTCTTTACCATAGTTGGTTCCTTGAAAATTATTGGTGATCTAAATTATCGGTGATCTCTTACTCATCAAAAAGCCTTTGTCTTTGAGCCTTTGGTGGTCCTTTTAAACTGTTGACAAAACACACATCCTGAATCTCTTTTTTGGGATTCCTTAGCACTGAACCATTACTAAGCCTTTGGCTTTTCGTTTTGCATTTCTGAATTTGTTCTTTTTTTTTTTTTTTAATTTATATCTTTTTGCACCTTAATTCTGTAAATTTTGAGCTCTAAGTTCTCACCAATAACACTGTTTTCTTAAAATCTGCATGGTTTTCCCTTGACTCCATATATATAGTAAACTAAGTAATACAGTCATTATCTTCCATTACTAAACCATTTTTTTTTTTACTAAATCATTTTTCTTTTGAAGTCTCTCAGTAAATGTTTTAGTCATTCTCTCAAATTATTTGCAATGTAAAATTGTAGTCTATTTTTTTTTATCTTTTTCTGCTCTGCCTGTCCAGTCAATTGTCAACTGCTGTCAGTTCAGTGTGACAGCCCACCGCACACCCGCACCCTTGTTTCCTTCCCCACCACCTTTGTCTTGACCCTAGTCTTCTCACACGGACAGTTGGAACTGTCTCCTCAGTTTGCCTTCCAGCCTCTGGGCCATTTTCTCTGACTACCATTTAAAACATCGATGCCAGATTAATCTTTTTTTTTTCTTTTCATATGTACGAGCTACTCATTTTTCTGCTGAGAAACTTTCATTCTTTACATATAAAATTATATCAAATTTAGCCTCCCTAGGCTCGTATTCCAGCCCTTCTGTGCTCCAATCTCGGCTAAATTTCCAGCTTTATTCTCCCTGCTGCTCTACGTGTTCCAAAGTGGTCTAATGCCAAACTGTGCAACTTGCTGTTTTGCAGAAATCAATTATAATTTCTCACCTTGCATCATATGTTTTTCAGAAATGTCTGTCATCTGTTAGCAAAATCTAGTTCAAATATTTCTTTATTTACAACTTTTTTTTTTCCAGCCTAGATTTCATAGCTCTTTTCTCTGATCCCTAATGCACTGAGTCCACAACACGTGTGTGCTCCTTGTCCGTTCCTGTCTTTTTTATCATTAGTGTTTTTTATTTGTTTTCTCCATTTTCGCTTGAAAGTTCCTTAAAAGCAAAGGCTTCTTTATAGTTTAATTTTTTCTTGAAATTCTTAGTACATGTAGCATTTATTAAATGCTCAGTAAATATTTTCATTGCGACTAATATCTTTACCATTTATATCCATTCCTAAGCTTCTGCATTCCCTAAAAGTTACTCATTGTTTTGTTCTGTTTTGTTTTGCTTTGTTTTGAGCCTTGAACTATCAGTTAAGAGTTTGCCAATAATGGAGCTCAAAATTTGCTGTTGATTAGCTTATTTTCTTTACAAATACCTCAAATAAGAATATCATTTTTTTTCTTTTTTGCTTTAGTTGACACAATTCAAACTTCATTTATTGTTGGTATTTTTAAAAATAAAATAATGGGTTTAAGAAAAAAACTGTCAACATATTTTGCTTTATCTCTTTGTTGGATTACAGAATTTGTTTTGAATTTAAATCCCCTAGGGCCCCTGGGTGGCTCAGTTCACTCAGCATAGGGCTCTCAACTTTGGCTCAGATCATGATCCCAGGATTATGAGATCGAGCCCTGCGTTGGCTCTGTGCTGAGTGTGGAGCCTGCATAAAATTCTCTCTCTACCCATCCTTCCCCTACTTTCTCCCTTTCTTAAATAATAATAATAATAATAATAATAAATAAATCCAAATCCCCTTCATCAAAAGGCAGAAGCTCAGGACACTGGAACCAAGCTGGGTTCTCAAGGACCCAGAGGGATTCAAAGACAGGACAGGAGAGGCCATAGCAGGGAGACAAATATAATCCAAGAGATAGTATCAGATATTAGACTAAATCAAAAGACAGGAAGACACTATAAAACTAAGGATATATTTCAAAGAAACAGGAAAGGGGCACCTTGGTGGTTCAGTCGGTTAAGTGTCTGCCTTCAGCTCAAGTCAGGATCCCAGGGTCCTGGGATTGAGCCCCGTGTCAGGCTCCCTGCTCAGAGTGCCTGATTCTCCCTTTCCCTCTGCCACTCCCCCTACTTGTGTGCTCTCTCTCTTTGTCAAATAAATAAATAAAATCTTTTTTTTTTTAAAAGAAAGAAACACGGAAATGTTAGGATTCCAGCATAAAATGTCATTGAGGAAATATAGAAAGCCAGAAGAAAAATGAGTGTAAAAGGCCTAAAGTTGCATGCTTAAGTGAGAAGCATTCCTCTGTGCTGAAAATACACAATGTAGTATAAAATTAGGATTACAAGAACTCCTTAATCATATGTATTTTATTAACTACCCTTTCTCTTGCCACACAATACCTTAACTCTGATCTTCAATGGAAAAAAATGCACTTTTCATTTTTACCCCATCCACAGCCATATGAGACCGTATGTCCAATTTCCTTAACTCCTACAACTGTTCAGTCACTAAAGTATGACCAGTGGTTTACCTCATATTTTCAGAAACCATAGTTCAGGGGTTCAGCATCTTTTAATTCAACATCTGACGTGCACTCACAACTGTTCTCCCTGCCTTTGATCTCAGTTAACTCAAATGCATACCGTCACACGGCCACCATATTGATTGATAGAAAACATGAGTTTGACAATTCTCCTCTCTTCTTAGAACCTGATCATGATCTCCCATCCCCTAGAAGAAAAAGTCCAATCTCCTTGACATGGCCTATGAGACGCTCCATGCCCTGCCTTCATCTTTACTTTTTTCCGTTAATACCTCATCAACAAGGAATTGTTCATAATTTTCTGGGAAAAGAAAAGTGCTGCTAATTGCCTCATTGCTTTTCCTCATGCTATTCTAGCTTCACTTCCTTCTACTCAGCTTACATTCCACTTCCTGTCAGGCATTCTTACTCCACATGAACTTCCTCATAAATTTCCCCTGAGCACTCTCTCACATTGTATTTATCACTTATCAGTTTATTGTTTGTCTCTTTTAAGTCTATGAGCTTCTTGGGGTGCCTGGGTGGCTCAGTGGTTAAAGCCTCTGCCTTTGGCTTAGGTCATGATCTCAGGGTCCTGGGATCGAGCCCCGCATTGGGCTCCCTGCTCGGCCGGGAACCCGCTTCCCCCCCTCTCTCTCTGCCTGCCTCTCTTGTGATCTTTGTCTGTCAAATAAATAAATAAAATCTTAAAAAAAAAAAAAAAAGACTATGAGCTTCTTGAGGCTGGAGATGATGCCTTAATCTTCATATCTTTGTTGACAGTTATGGTAGGAACTCACTAAGTATTTACTGGGTGAATAGCCTTTAACAGAATTATGTTTGAAAAACAGATAAGATTTGTGTGACTACTTAATAAAATTAGAGATCTTAATAGAATTAGAGATCTGAGTCTCATTAAATGCTCAGACACTTAACACCTTAAAAGGTGAAAACGATGTTCTCCATTTATTCTCTGCTTTTCAGTTTTTGCTCATCTAGCATCAGAATCCTGCAAAAGCCTACATTTAATGTTATACCGAGTTACGACTTTATTAGAAGGGAAATAAGATGAGTAGGATAAGAAAGTAAGAAGACACATAGCAGTGAAAGAACAGGAGTTGTTATTTAAATAAAACTTGAAGTGTCCTGGTAGTGGGTATTAAGGAGGGCACGTATTGCATGGAGCACTGGGTGCTCAATGAATCTTTGAACACTAAAAAAAAAAAGTTAAATTAAATTAAAAAGAATTAAATTAAATAAATAAATTAAATAAATAAGACTTGAACCTTAAAAAGCCAGACATGTCTTCTGAAGAAAAGTTCAGTAAGAACAGTGAGAAATATATCTTGGTCCCTATTAAATTGGAGTTTTACGTACTTGCTGTATTAGTCATAGTGGTAGATCACAGGAAATCTTTTTAACTTAGAAGTTAAGGCATCAACTTGGCCAAGGCATATTTTGCTCACTCTTGTGCTCCTAGTATCTAGAAAGTGCCTGGTACATAGAAGACATTGAATGATTGATATAAATGTCAAATGAGAGAAAGTAGAATACTCAGAAGAGGAAAG